GCAGCTGCAGCGTGTGCAGAGCGCGTGCAGGCAGCGCGCGTAGGGCCACGCGCGGGCTGTGCGGGCAGAGCGCGTGCAGCACGGGCCGTAAGGGCAGCGCGCGGGCGGCACCAGCGGCGTGGGGGCGGTGCACGAGCAGGGCGCGCGGTGCACGGGCAGGGCGCCGCCGGTGCAGGCAGTGCGCGAGCGAGGCAGGCAGCGCGCGGGCAGAGAACGCAGCGCGCGGGCAGCAGCAGCAGCGCGCGGGCAGCGCGGGCAGCGTGCCAGCAGGGCGCGCGTAGGCCTCAGGCAGCGCTTGTGCAGGCAGCGCGAGCAGGGCGCGAGTAGGGCAGCGTGCGGGTCGCGCGCTAGGCAGCAAGCGAGCAGCGCGACGGGCAGGGCAGAGCGCGTGGGGCAGCGCAAGCAGGGCAGGGCAGTACGGGCAGTTCGGCAGGGCAGTACGGGTAGTTCGGGCAGTTCGGGTAGGTCTAAACTAGCGGTGGGCCCTAATGGAGCGGTCCTACGGATGATGGACCCGCTCTGAATACCATGTCAGAAGTAGGACGTAGGAATGATTGACTAGTAGGGAAGAGTGAGTACAAGTACTAGGAATGACCTAAGGTGTTGTACTCCTTAGAGTATGCCCCACTACAGCCTAGAGATAACAAATGCAATTTGACAGAACTAGGCTCCGGCACTGGAGGCTTGGAAGTACCTCACGAAGCTGTATCAACCCAGGATTCCGTGTTGTCGAGAAGACTCCTCCAACACCGATGGAGGTGAAAATGGGGCTCGAGGAGAAAGCGAATACTTACATGGACAGTTGTCGGAGCACCCGCGACCTGAGCACAATCAAGCACAATCTCGCAAGACTCAGACCTGAGTGGAGGCCCTGCAAGGCGCTACTCCTACAACAGGGGGCCATCTCAGAAGCGTCTCTATGCGCCGCCTTTCTCGTCGAACAACAAGAGATGGATGCACAAAAGGAGCGTTCCGCGCCACGACGAGAATGACGCAATTTAGGCCTCGATATTTAATTCAACCACGAGGAATGTGCACCGTCGCTTTTAACCTTTCCAACCATACTATGTACATTTGTTATGCTACAGCATGGTTCTTTATTGAGCAGGTACTTATATATCTGTACACATGTATTCCATTTATAGTTAGTCATGCTTTAGCGGGTGTGGGCCTCCAAACATATGTCTTCCACAAGAATATTCTGTTCTCGTGAAAGTGCCTGGCTTGGCATCGTCCACATGTTCAGTGGTGGTGGCGGCCAGTTGACCAATCTTCGAAGCAGGGTCAATGTCGCTGGCGACGAGTCAGCAGCAATACGCCAGCCACCTTGACAGCACATAATTATTTTCTGTCGTTGCCTACGTGGACCCTGTGTTATGCAAGTCGACTGCCCGACATTGGTGGGCGACAGCCCACATGCTTGAGACGGAATATTCCGCCACCAGAATTTTTGGAACCGCCGCTTTCATTGTCAACGTGAAGATGCTGTTCCCACTGCGAGACCCCGACGTGGGACAGCCCCGTCGATTGGAAACGGTTTCATTTTTCGGCATGATGTTGAAAGCTCATGTTTGACACGAATGGTTCGGCAAGGATGTACTACCAAGGAGAACCGAGTTACGACGTAAAACAATACACGCCCGAGATTCGCATATGGAATCTTCCGCATCTTCCGCATCTGCTGGTCGCATCTCTCGCGTCGCACAGCATCGCACTCGGCTGGGCGACTGCAACCTAGGATCTTGTGCTCGCCCACCCATTTTGCAGTACACCTTCGTGTTGCCTCGTACAGCACAAACTGCGCACACAGGACAACTTCCCAAGGCTTGTTAATAACTTTTTGCTGGATGAAACGCGGCAAAAAACGTTCTGGTACGTTTCGGTACGGTGAAGCTTCAGAAAGGCAAAAAATCGCCGCAGCAGCACAACTCTCTCCCCTGGATGCTCGTGTTTGCTTCTCGTCACATTCTTCAGCTGCTTGCTTGCCTACCTTCCGATCATCCATGGAAAAGCTTGACTAGTGCGCTCGCACACAACTAGGAACAAGCGTTATCCTAATCCTGTGGCTGTATCTCGTTATCCAACTCCTAAAAGTCTCCCAGCACACGCTCCGTGTGCTTCATCCATGCTTCAAAAGCTCAGTGGTCCAAGCTTCCCCCGTTACTGTAATGCATTTCTCTCAAGTATTCGAACCTTGTCAGTGCATTCAAGAGCGCCTGATCTCCTGCGCTAGCACCTCAGCTCGACAGGGTTGCGTCTCGGTGGCAACGTGATTTATGCGAGTAGTTGGAAGCTATGCAGTTTTGCTAACTGAAATTGTTTCTCTCCTCTAGCCTATTCAATCGACCGCAGCTAACACCGAAGTGGTAGCTAGCGTAATAGTGTGTTTTCCTGAGAAGTCTCTAGGGAACGTGAGAAATAGATTGCTTAATTATCGCCGTTGGTTTTCCTCCAACGCAGAAACCACCCAACCACCGTTACCGTATAAGCAACTTCTCATGGCGTCACTCTCTTTCTCAGTTGCCGCTCATCGTTTCTCCCTCGAGGTCTCCGTCTATCGGCTACGTTCCTCTCTCCGCGCTTCCTCCCCATTCCACAAAGTCTCACCGCCTTCTCTCGGCCGCTTCGCTCTCCGCAACGCAACACTGCCGCTAACATTCAACCCACTAAACTTATCCGCGTTACATACTGCCTCACGTCGTTGCAACAGTTGTAGCTTAGACATAAATAAGACAAGTGCTACAGTAGTGCAGTATCACACCGAACATTCCGGCTCTCCAGGTGCAGGTCATACCCCCCCACCCAGTCTTAGCGCAGCGCTTCAACGTCCTCTCGCGCTCACCTCAGCAGCAGCCATAAGCGCAGCTCTCGTATTTTCCGCTCTTCCTGCTCTAGCCGCTGACGTCACTTCGTTCGGATCGCTCCCTCAACCGGAATCGGTCGCTTTCCTCGATGCTTCCACGCGGGAGAAGGACATGATCCTCGCTTCGGCGTCGCTCGCAGCGCCTTCGCTGGAAGGCTTTAGCGAGTTAACACCATCTTTATTAACCGCTACAGTAGCACCCTCGATAGTAGACAACACGGTAGTAGTCTCACATTCCGATAATGATTACGACGTGTCCAAGTCGGGTCCGATTTTGCAGCTGGCTTCACGCGACGCGGCGTCGCACGACGTTGTCAAGATGTGTTCGAATCTCCTCGCCGCCTGTGGTAAGGGTTTTGTGCGCTTGCATCTGATGCATATTCATTACTCGCAGTAAGTCTACCTTCTGCATCTTATATATATTTGTTTATTTGTTGCCGTTCATGGCTGCTTGCCTGAGCTCGTTGCCTGCGTACTTCGAAACTCTCCGTTTCCTATTCTCACGTTCGTCATTGTGCTGTAACATTTCGTTTCGCGTGTTTCCTTTCGTTTGTCCTTTCGTTTTGCAGTGCTGCTGGTTTGGTTCCAGCGGGTCGGCACTCTGCCACCTTCCACAGCCCACGTCCTAACCCAGGTGCGCTGCGCTCTCTCGCTCCCTTTCTCCCTTGCTTGCCTTGCTCTCTCGCTCGCTCCGTTGCCTTCGGGCCCTGCCTCGCTCTCTCTCGCTCTGCTGCTAGCACGCGCTGTCTCTCCGTCCATGATTGGGGATATAACTGTCTCCCTCTGAACGCACGTTGCTGACTCGGACCTCCCTCCCCTGCTACGCACTCCCTCTTTCTATTTCCTCGGCCTTCTGCCCTCCGCCTTCCCCCTTGCGTATTGTGTCTCGTTCCAGGTGGCGAATCGCGTGCTCATCCCGTGCTTCTTAGCGGTGCACGTGGCGTCGGCCGTTTCGAGTGAGACCGAGGCGGTGGTCGCCTCGCTCCCTCTAATTGCGTTCGCGCAGGTATGCTCCACTTCCCTCTCTTCTCTTCCCTTGCCTTCTCTTTTCTCTGACACTGTCTCGCATCTTCCCCTCTATTCACGCTAATTTGCTCTCCTAACATGTGTTTCTTTGTTCTAGTACTAGTGAGACCAGTCCTGGCGTTAGTCCTATTCACTGTGGACTTCCGTTCCCTCAATCCGAACCCGTGTGTGCAGCCCCATTGTGTCACTTAGTGACTAATAAGTCGACTGAAAAGTCACCTCGGATCTCTCTGTGTTTCTTGTTCTCGCCGCCCCGAACCTCTCTCATCCAGGTCCTCTGTGCAGCCTCATTGGGTCACCTCGTGACTTGTCTTTCCTCTCCATTGCGTCGACTCGAAAGCCACCTCGTTCTCTCTCTGTCTTGTCCTCGCCGCCTCGTACCCTCTCTCATCCAGGTTCTCTGTGCAGCCTCATTGGGTCACCTCGCTCACCAATCCTCCTCCCAATCCTCCTCATCCTCCTCATTCCTCCCCCGGCCGCTTCATCTCTCTCCACGCCCCTCCACCTCTCTGCACCAACTCGCTGCCGCTATCACCGCCTCTCTCTCCTCCCTCAACCAACCGGCCACCGAACCAACCACCGAAGCAACCGCCAAACCTGCTGCAGCCGCAGGCGGTAGTGCCGCCGCTGGCAATCTCGGCGGACGGCTCGGCGAAGCGGTGATGACGCTGCTGCTGCTGGTCGTCATGACGGCCGTCTGCGAGACAGGGGGAGACGGGCTGGCGGGACAGCTGGCGCTGCTTGCCGTGGGCGGGTGAGTGAAGTGGGAACGAGTGGGAGGGGCTGGGGGAAGGGGAGGTTGGGTGGAGGGGAGGTTGGGTGGAGGGGGAATGAGTGAGGGGGGGTTGAGAGAGCGGGTGAGTGAGGTGAGGTGGAGTGCGTTGCTTCAGCAAGTCGCATTGCTTTCTCTCGTGTCCTGTCTTGCTGCTTGAGACGGCATCGCCTTCCTCTCTCTCCAGTGTCCACCTGTCACTAGTCTCAGCTCCCATTGTTGACTAACCTGTCGTCACCCCCTTTCCCTCCCCCTCCCCCTTCCCTTCCCCCCTCCCCCTTCCCCCTTCCCACCTCCCCCCTCCCACCTCCCACGTCCCGTCAACGCGCGAATCAACAGGTGGGCGCCGGCGCTACTCATTCTGGCATGCAACGCTCTGCTCTGGATCCAAACGCGGGCAGATGCTTTTGAGAATCCTCAGAAGCAGGCAGATGCAATGGATACTAGCCTGCCCTCGAGCCCCTCGGGGCCGTCGCTTTCGAATCATTTCTTCACCCCTCCTGTTCTTGGAGTGAGTTCGGTTTCCCTGTTGTTACTCCTGCTCTCCTTCTCACCCCTTCCTTCCCCTTTTCTCACACATTCATCCATGCCTTTCCCCTTCACCTCGTCACCTTTGCCTCATTCACCTCCTCTCCAGGCGTTCGTATCTTTTGTCCTGCTGTCCACTTATGTCTCTCCTTCCTCTCCTTGTGTCCTTTACTTGACTCGCCTTGACTAGCCTTGACTCGCCTTGACTCGCCTTGACTCACCTAGACTCACCTAGACTCACCTAGACTCACCTTGACTCACCTTGACTCACCTTGACTCTTCTCCATCTCCTCTGCCCTGCTCTCAGGTTCTCACAGGTCTCTTGATAGGCGCAACGCCTCTCAGTCAACTCTTCCTGCTGCCACGTGGCGGCGACGGACTGGTCGACACGAGTACTCTGCTGATCGACAGCGGGTCCCTGCTGGCGTGGCTGCAATGGCAAGCGGGCGAGATGGCAGGGTGCATGCACTGCTTCATGGAGGCTGCATCGTTCCTCGGTTCAGCCGCTCTGCCACTGCACCTCATGGCGCTCGTCTCCTCTCTGGTCCCCTCCCTCGAACCATGTCAAGCCCAGCATCAACATCATCAACAGCAGCAGCTGCAGCAGCAAGCCATACTCGCACCTGTCAAGGCTACACTGCCCAGAGATGCTGCTGCTTCTACACCGGAGCTGCCCCTGTAACCTCATGGCGTTCGTTCCCCTCAAACCATCTCAAGCCCAGAAGCAGCAGCAGCAGCAGCTGCAGCAGCCTCAGCAGCAGCAGGCCATCCTCGCACCTGTCAAGTCTACACGGGCCAGAGATGCTGCTGCTTCTACACCGGAGCTGCCCCTGTAACCATCCTCTCTGGTCCCCTGCAAATCTCTCGAATCACCTCAGACCCATCACCAGCAGCAGCAAGCCATTGTGTCACTGGTCAAACCCACCCGGCCCACAGATGCTGCTGCTTCTGCTCCGGAGCTGCCTCAGCAACACAGGAAAGTCTATCTCGACTTCATACGACTTGACTTAAATCGACTTGGCTCCACCCGACTCAAACGGGAGCCTTAATAACAGACTCAGACCCCTCAGAGACTGCAAACCTCCGGTCTCATCTCTAACTTGCTCCTGTTAGACACGTCAGCAGCAGCATGCCAAGTTGTCGCTTGCCCAGCTAGCTAACACCAACCAACCACAACTCTCTCATCTCATCCTGGGTATTCCCTTGATCATTTGAGGGTCAGCAGCAGCAGCAGCAGCTAGCCGGCTATTGAGACTGTCAACAACAAGAAGCTGTCCAGCAGCAGCAGCAGCCAGCACCTGCGGCGAGCTCTCTGTTCATGGGGATCGGATGCTGTCAAGTTCTGAGTCTACCTAACAATGCACTCAGCAACTCCATCTACCTTTCCTGCGGATGGTGAGTTGACTTGTTTTACCTTTTAATTTGGCTTCTGTGCATTCTTTCTTGGTGTGCATTTCACTGAGAGTGTGCTGCTGTGTGCCTGCCTCTCTCCGTGCTGCCCACAGGTTAAAATAATCCACAGTGGGCTCTCACAGCTGTGGCCCTCACCTTCTCATTTGTCTGCGCTCAAGATTGTCATGCCTAGACTATCTTCATGCGCACAAGGTAAATATATGAATGATAAGTGGACAGGACTCATTTAGGATGCAAAGCGTTCTTGCACATTTTTCACAATGCATGCAGAAAGGATCATAATGCACCTATAAATACTAGCCCAGATTCTAACTATTCCACCGTGCTTTGACTTTCAGCCATGCACCTTGAATATTTCCTTCAAGTTCTCTTCGCATTTGTACTTCTCTTCTGCAGTTCTGCTGCATGCCACGCCACATGCGACCAACACCACAACGTCTGAAACTATCCCTGTGCCCGTTGCAGTTGCTGCTGATCACATCTGCTGTTGCTGCTGCTGTCCAGTTGCTTGTCCAGTTGCTGCGGCTGTTGCTGCTGCTGCTTCTGGAACCTTCACCATCACTACCTGCTACCACCTATACTGCTTTCCACTGTTTTCACTAGCCTACCTCACCTCATTCATTATAGGAAACCAAAACGACCATGCTCACACTGCCATGCTACAGTTGTGAGGAAAAAGCTAGTTACAGTGGCGGGTGAAGTGCCACACAGGGATGGTCATCACATGGGGATGTTGAGGATGGTGAGGAAAACGGTGACCCAGATGGTGATGGGTAGCATGGCCAGGGCGTACTGTAGGGGTGGGGAAATGATGGGGAGTAATGGAAAGGGTCAGAAACATTAGTCTATGGATGATATCAAGTGAAAAAAGTTCAGTTACAGATAAGAAAAAAGTACCCTGGACAACGGACCATAGACGGATATCTAACTCTGATTGTCGGGCAGGAAGAAAAAAACACATCAGATGGCATGCCATTGAAGGAGGCATCAACCCTAAACAAGCTGTTATGGTTTGATGCCGTTCTTTGTGGGGATTACTGTTTGTCCCGGGCAGCAATCTTCCTGGACAAGTTGGTTGTCAGTTGAAATTGACATTATCCACTCGTAGACACTTAAAGCATGGATGGAACTGTGCTGCACCGCATTGAACCTAGTGAAGTGAACAATTACCGCACCAATTCTCTGCCCTTTGCAGCAAGAGGTTGTACATGTGGTCAGGTTGTTTTTATTGTGACCAGAATTTTCGTATCTTCCAATCCGACATGGATTCTGATCAATAAATGATGCTGGCATAGTTCCTTAAAGCAAGGGTGCACATTCCTAGGGGTGGTTTTCGGGTGTATTGGTTTGGTACACCCCTTAGGGTGCTACGAATGGTTGGCGAAGAGTCCAACCATATGAAACACTGGAGCGAGGGTTGGAGAATAAGCTGGCGAACAAAATCGAATTCGTCCGCGAGTTGGGTTGGGGGAACAGACGATGGAAGGGGAGGCAAGTGATAAACCTTTGCCTCCACCCCCCCCAAGGTGCACCCTTGCTTTAATTGAAAGTTGATAAGCCCAGAGAGAAAAGTCCAGGAGAAAGATGAGTTGCAACAAAAGAAAAGGGCAAACTATCCATATTAGAAGGAAGGGAAGGGGCTCACCTGTCGAAGCATGAGTGAGGCAAGAACTCCTGCCAGAGGACGGGTCTTGGAGCTCAGCTGCAGTCACAGAACAGGAGGGAGGAATGAGGATGGAGGGAGTTAGGATGGAGAAATAAGGGCAGAGAAATGAGGAATATTGCTTTCGCGGTTTCCCCTTCAGCTTAGGACAAAAGAAGAAAAGCATGAGCAAAATACACATACATGTTTCCTGTTATATTGAGCAGAGCAGGGTGATGAGGCAACTAACCTGAGTGAGAACCACGAGGCTCTGAGATGACGGCATGGCAGTAGGCACCTGAGAAAGGGACGAGCAGAGAGAGAGGGCAGAGAGAGAGGGCAGAGAGAAGCGAGTAGAAGGAGTTGAGATGAGTGGAAATGGAACAAGAGAGAGAACCAGGCACATTGATGCACGAGCATGAGCAGAGAGTCATAAGGCCCGACGGCTTAGTGGCGTTCAGCAGGCTTACTATGAGGCAAGGCGCCCAAATAGGACTTTTGAGGCGCCTAAAAAAAGGACGGCTTAGCGGCGTTCAGCAGGCTTACCATGAGGCAAAGTGCGCAAATAGGGTCCTGGGGAATGAGGTGGGCGTGGTAGAGAGCCTGGCAGAGCAGGAAAAGAAGCAAGGCAGAGAGAGAGGCAAGGTTAGCAATGGAGGAAGGAAGGAGTAGGAAGACGGAAGGGGAAGCAGAGAAAACAGGGGAGTGGGCACGGGATTTGAATTTCGTGATAGTGCAAGACATAAACGTGCTGAGAAAGACAATGAACAACACACCATAACGCTGGTCATGCCAACTATGGGTGAGACCAAGGGCAGCCACTGCTGCAATGAGCCGTGGCAGGCCAGCAAAGAAAACAGCAAGGAACCCTAAGCCATGAACCCTACACCTTAAGCTCTTAACCCGGAAACCTGAAAACGCTGCACGCACCATGATGCTAGTCATGCCGACAATGGGAGAGACCAGCAGACGAACAAGTGACACCACTACCAGTGCACGATTGCCCAGCAGGTCTGCTGGCGGCCCTGCAGGCACCCTAAACCTTAAACCCTGGGAACGCACCATGATGCTGGTCATGCCGACGATTGGAGAGACCAGGAGCCGCACGAGCGACACCACCACCAGCGCCCGATTGTCCAGCAGGTCTGCTGGCGGCCCGGCAGGCACCGCTGCTGCTGCCTTGGCTGATGCAGAAACAGCAGCAGCAACAGCAGCAGAGGCAGCTGCAACAGCAGCCGCAGGAGCAGCGGAAGCGGCGACAGAGGCAACAGTGGATTCTGATGCTACGGTTGGTGCTGGTGCGCGGGCAAAGACAGAGGAGGAAGAAGGGGCGAGGGCGGCAGCAGTAGCAGGAGCCAGCGCAGCTGCCAGTTCAGGAGACATGGTGGGAGCGACAGGACGAATAGATGCTGCTTCTGCTTCCTCTCCCACTACAGCTGCTGCTAGTGCTGTCGCTGTCGCAGCAGCATCAGCGTTTGGTCGTTCCAGGTGCATGGCAGCACCCTGGCCCATGCTCAGATCCATTTCTAATTCCAATGCCTCGAGTCCATTCACCTCTAGCGCACCTGTCGCGTCCCCACCCCCCATCATCTCCACCCCTCCCACCGCCTCTGTGTTGCTCTCCGCCTCACACGACCGCACCTCCTTCAACCCATCCTCACCCCTCTCCGCGCCCCTCTCCACCCTCCCTTGCACTGGAATGGCTAGGACAGATGCTGAAGCAGCTGACGCTGTGACTGCAGCTGCAGCAGCAGTGGAGTAGGAAGCTGCTAGAACGGAGTTCCCAAGGAAAGGTTGGTGGGGAACTAAGCGGGCTAGCAGCCACAGTGAGGAGGCAGAATCGGAGGAAGAGGAAGAGAAGGAGGACGGGGAGGAGTGGGAAGAAGAGGAGGAAGAAGGGGTGAGGAGGGATTGGAGGAGGTGGTGGAGGTTGGCTAGCGGGGGGGAACCGGCAGGAAAGACAGGCGCAGGGAATCTGGCAGAGAGCGACTTTTGGAGGTTTGCGAAGGGGTTGGGAGGAGTGGGGAGGTTGGGGAGAGCCGGGAGGAACTTGGGCCAGGAGAGGTTGGAGGGGAGGGCATCGGCTAGAGAGGAGGAGAGGACGATGGTTTGCACTGGGACACATGCTCCCCCCAGCATGCCTGCTGCCTGCAGGGTTGGTTGGGGCAGGCGGAAAGGCAGTAGTAGAATATAGTTAGAGTGGGCACAATGATATGGAAGTCCCAGCCATTGAACCCAAAACCCTCTAATTATACACCTCTCGTTCCCAATCACACTAAACAATGGATGTAGCACAGACTCACCCCAAACAGAGGGTTCAGCACTCCGGCTGTAGCAGGGCTGAGGAGAGAGGACAGCAGGTCGCCTGAGCCAGCAGTAGCGGCTGTAGCAGCCGCAGCGGCATCGGCAGCAGCGGGCAGGAAGAAATGGCCGAGCGGGGTGGTGCCGATAACAACGCCCACGAGCACCTGAGGGGGTGACAACAAGGAAAGCAGGAGGTGAATTATGGAGAAAGCGACAGGAATGAAACAGGCCTTGCAAAAAAAAAAAAAAAAAAAAAAAAAAAAAACGAGGCGAGACGGGCAAGCAAAGTGGGTGGGCACCTAAACTACTCACCCAACATATATGCAGGTAACCGTCAACTCACCCCATACATAGGCGGGTTAAAGACCTTCTTGGCCACACCAGAGACACACTCCACAGCATTGCTCGCCCACGCACGCACGCCCCCAACACCACCACCAGCAGCACCAGCGTTACTAGCAGCAGTCGCCTTGATGCTGCTGCTGCTGCTGCTGCTGGTCACACCACCAGCGGGCTTGCCCGCGTCCTTGAGAATGCTGTAGCCGATCGTCCACAGCGCCGGCTGCCAGCTGTGGGAGGAGGGGAAAGGGAAGGGAGGAATTAACATACAGTCACAAACTGACGCAGTGAGAAGGCATAGGCCTCAAAGAGGATAGAGTAGCTGAGACGATACAAAGGCAGCCGCGCAAACAGGCGCTCACCCCATCATAAAGAGCGCGAGGTATCCTGCTGCCCTGTCGCCATCCACCTGGCTGAGCAGCGCCGTGAGGAAGACCAGAGGCAGGGAGACTAAGACAGGTAGACACCATGCCACACACACACACACACACTCACTCACCCCATCATAAAGAGAGCGAGGTATCCTGCTGCCCTGTCGCCATCCACCTGGCTGAGCAGCGCTGTGAGGAACACCAGAGGCAGCGAGAGCGAGTTGCTGAACGCACACACTGCTGTCACCACCGACTCCTTGGTCCTAAGTACCGCCGCCGCTGCCGCCGCCGATGCTGCTGTTGCTGCTGGCGATTGTGGTTCGGCGGCAGTGGCAACAAGCTCAGTGTGGTTTTCTCTGCTGCTTCCGTCGCTGTGCTTTAGGTTGCTGCTGCTGACGCTGTTGCCGGTGACAAGAGAGGGCAGCAGGGCAGCGGATGGCAGTAGTGAAGAGGGCTTGTGGAATGCCACGAGGCACGCAGCCTTGCCCAGCACCGTACCCACCAGCACCTGGAGAGGAAACACACGCGTATGCACAAGAAAGGGAGCAGGCGTAGCACAGTATTAGGCATTAGGGCAGCAGTGAAGAGGGCTTGTGGAATGCCACGACAATACGAGTGGTGGTGGGAAGGGAGCAGGACAGCATGAGGCATGACGGCAGCAGCGACGACGGCTTGTGGAATGCCACGAGGCACGCAGCCTTGCCTAGCACCGTGCCCACTAGCACCTGGAGAGGAAACACACGCGTATGCACAAGAAAGGGAGCAGGCGTAGCACAGTATTAGGCATTAGGGCAGCAGTGAAGAGGGCTTGTGGAATGCCACGAGGCACGCAGCCTTGCCCAGCACCGTGCCCACCAGCACCTGCAAAGCGAAGAAAAACGGGTCGCAAGAGTGGGTGACACCAAGGTGAGGCAAAGCAAACCCTAACTGACGTCCATTGATGTCCATTGTTGCAAAACAATGGAGCGGCATCTGGGACGGGATACAAGCGGTTGAGATGACTTTTGAGTCGACTGAAAAGTCACCTCGTAGGTGACATCAAGGTGAGGCAAACCCTAACTGACGTGCAAAACAATGGAGCGGAATCTGGGACGGAGTACAAGCGGTTGAGTCTGGAAGGTGGTGCATACCTGGAGAATAGCAATGAGCGGCAGCACTGCAAGCGCTGAGAGCGACTCGCCCGAGAGAGTGGCGGCCACCTGTAGGGAGCGAGAGAGGCGAGGGAGAGGGGGAAGGACGCAAATAGGAGGGACGGGGCGGATAGGGGGATTGAAGAAGCTAGTGTTAGCGGCCACGGGATTACAAGCAGACAAAGGGATAGTGGCAGATATGGCTTTAAGAGAGCTCCAGTGGCGGATAATCGGATCGGGATAGATGCGTTGTGCTTTGCGTGTATAGGAGCAAAGAAACAAGCACGAGACAGTAAAACATACAAGGAAAGCGGAGAGGCGGTGCACGTGGGATGAGCACATGCAAGAAAAGTCAGGAGGAGCATACCTTGCTCATAAGGAAGCACGGAATGAGCACTCGAAAGGAGACCTGAGCAGCGAGGAGGGAATGGGGTGAGGATCAAGAGAAGAGCAGGAGGAAGAAGGGAGAATGATTGGAGTGGAGACGATGTTGAGTTTTTAACAGGTGTTGATGTGGCGCCCGCCTAAGCAAGGCACCGACTCGTACACTGTTAACTGCAAATGAATCACAAGCACGCACCGGTGTAACTGTAACCGTTGCAGGTGTGGGTGCTCTAGAATCGAGAGCAAAGACACACACACTCCCGCACACGCCCATTGCACACAGGCGCATCCCCCCAAGCACACCATCCTACACGCTCCCAACGCCCACATTCACCCACATAGAGCCACCCGCAAACCCAATACGCACCTGGCTGAGCACGGAGGGCGTGGACTTGGGTAGAATGCCCGATTTCTGCAGACACACCACGAACGCTGCTCTCGCACGCACACACACGCACGCATGAACCGCATGGCAACGCGAGGGAGCAGGGGGAAAAGGGTGGAGGAGAAGGGGAGGAGGGGGGGGGAGGGGGAAGGGGGGAGGGGGGGGAGGGGGGGGAGGGGGAAGGAGGGCGGAGGGGCAGAAAGGGGGCGGGTGGAGGGGGGTGGGAGGAGGAAGAGAGACAAGGTGAGGCGAAGAAACTTGACGGGCGAAGTGCAAGAGGCAATGTGATGACAACAAGCAATGGAGAACGGGAGGGAGGTAGGGCGGGGTACGGGGAGGGCGGAAGGGAGCGAGTGAGGGCAAAGGAAGCGAGATGCAAAGCGGAAAGGGTCGTAAGCTCAAAACCTAACAGGGAGGGAGAAACGACGAGGCATACACCGGAAGGAAGTCGGAAGAAAGACGGAAAGCGGCACAAAAAGAACAGCGAATCAAGACCGCACTCCATCCTTACCACAGATGCCGAAGAGCTTAAACACAGTTCCGAAGGCGGCTTTTAACACGGACACATTGACGCCGAACACCACGTCAGCAGCCGCGCCCGCGGAACCCGCCGCCTCCTTCCCCGCATCCGCGGATGCGGCGGGAGCGGCGGAGTAATTGAGCGACACAGGCGTACTGGGCACCGCAGCCCCAGAAGGGGACACGCGCAAAACCGCAGCGGAAGGTGCGGGCAACGCGAAAGTTCCAGCCGGGAGAGAAGCGGGTAAGGCGGCTGGTAGTGCAGCTGGTAGATTAGCCGGCAGGGATGCCGGAACCGCCGAGGTTTCGGCGACTGCGGAAGCCGTTAGCGGCTCGTTACTAGTCCCCACCGACGCGTCGGTAGTGACGTCAGCGGAGGGGTAAGTGTACACTAACGGCGGCGCGGCGAAGCCCGATCGATCCGCGAAGCTTCCTTGGTCGAACGTGATCGGAACGGGCAGCGCGCGGAACGACGACGAGAAGAACTGCGCCGAGTGGTACAGCGACGGCCACACGTCGCCCGTATTCACCGCCGCGATCGGCGGCAGAACCTCCGCCGGCAGCCCCGCGGCCGCCACGTCAGCAACGCGGTTGAAAGCGGCGGCGGAGGCGGGGGAGACGGTGGGGAGGCAAGGCGCCGCGGTCACGATGCTGAGACCTATGGCGGCTGCGGTGGCCGTCGCGGCCGCTCGGATAAACACGGGAGCCGATTCCTTAGGGTCCCGGACCCCGTGTTCTGCGCTGGGAGCCGTTGCGAGCGACGCGGCTTCGTCGAACCTCCCTCGCATCAGCGCGCGGAGGAGCTGCGAGGAACGGGAGGCGGCTTCGGAGTGCTGAGCGCTGCTAGCCGCTTTCTTCCGTCGCCCTGCGACCTTCCTCCTGTCGCCTGCAGTCCTCTTCGCTTCGCCCGCAGACTTCTTGGTGTCGCCAGCCGTCTTGATGCGTCCATCGCCCGCAATCTTAACGTCTGGTCCGCGCTGTCCCGACACGGAGTTAAACTGCTGCATTGAACAGACTGCATCCGGAGCTGCTTCCCGGGTTTCACGAAACGCGGCTCCATCGTCGCTCTGACAATCCTCCCCATTGGCTGCCACATAAGACCCAGCGGCTTCTCTGGATCCAATTAAAGACGACTCGTTATAAACAGACTCCGTACGGCTCGTAATATCAGCGTTCACCGCCCTTTTCTCCGCATCAACATTGCAGCCGATGCTCCCGGCGCTGTTACCGCCGCTGCTACCAGCGGTAGAGATCACGGGAACGGCGGGAATCGTCGGAGAAGAAGTTGGGGAAATCAACGGTGTCCTCAACTCAGAGGAGCATCTGACGGTTCCGCCGCGATTGGCGCTGATGCCGATTCCACAGCAACTGCTCCGCTTCTTCTGGCAATTTGCGCGACCGAGAACGCAGATCGAACGGGTACAGTCAGGCAAAAGGGATCCTTCCGGCGACGGAAGCAACGGTCGGCGCGAAGTTAAGCAGAAACCGGAAGGGGAGCCGGAGCTGCTAGCAGGTCCACGGGAAGCGGAAGAGGAGGAGGGCGTGAGCGAGACGCAAGCAGGCGCAGAGCAGCGGAAGAAAATGGCGGCCATTCAGAAGAGAATTCTCGAAGCAGCTTGCTGAAAAGGAGGTCACGCAGGATCAATCAGTCTAGTGGATTAATCAGGCAATATCACTGGGCTTATGTGAATAGAGCTCCTCAGCGTGATAGCGATTCTTCTGTGACTCCGAGAGAAAGAAGGCGTTAAACGCTGATGAATAGTCGGCTCGTTCGTTCAAGGCGGTTTAAGCGATAATTAAAACGTTAATACGTCGTCGGCCTCCTTCCAGTACAAGAGAAGTCAATAAGTAATTAGCCCTTCGAGCAAAGCCCGCGTAATATAAACAGCTATACGCGACCTTGACAACAAGGCTAGGAGATCCGAGTCGCGGGGAGGACGCAGCTATGTCGGTGACAGGACAGTCAAGTATGGAAACGGACCAGGCACAGACAACCACCAGCCAGCTGCTATGATTTAGGGAATAGAAGTGGAAACCCCAAGGCCAGCTTTCCTCTAATATAGTACGGAGGAGGTGCATGTGCATTCACCTCCAGTCAAATTCCTAAGACACGGTGTAGTCTGTTTCATGGCGGTAAAGAGCGTTCAAGAGCGGTGAAGAACGAAAACCGTAACTTACCGCGTGAGAACTTCTCAACCAGGCTGGACGATCTCGGTTCTCTCTCGCATCCCAACCAATTCCCCATCTCATATCGCACCCGCCCAAGGTTACGAACGGTAGATCGGACGGACCAGCAGCATGGATGGATGGTGCAGTGGTGCTGCTGCGCTGAGCTGACGTTTCGCAAACGGCCGCCACTGCGTCCCCCACACGGCGTTGGACAAAACACGCGTAGTTGGCTCAGGGAGGTTCGGCGTCTACCTGGTTCGGATGGCGGTGTTCGATTGGTTCGGCATGGTTTAGCAAGGATGGTTTCATCTGGTAAGGGCAGATCTACATCAGAAGCACACATAGGAAACGGATTAACGATGCAGAACGATATCACAGAGCGTGAGGCTTCAAGCTTTGAGACGTCGAACGAACTGACCCGAGCTCCTGATCGAACATTACGTACGTTTAGAACAAGACTTGAGTTCACTTCGGGTCTGTTGAGTGCACACGGTCAAGAGCCAAAGCTTGGCCGACTTCAAGCCTCATCACTAGGCTTGGCACGACTGGCTGATGAACATACCGACAAGCCTAAGCAACAAGCACTCGGGCAAGGTACCACGGAGAGTTTCACAGTGAGAGGTTCGGCTCGTATCGAGGCTGCGCTATTAGCTGAAAAACTTCAAGGTTTAGATTAGTCGAATGTGGGTGAGGCTTGTCATTGGCCATCAGATGCTTCGGTACAGCTTACCACAGACACCAGATCGTCTCCGAACCACAACTCAATCAGCTTAGGCAAGCAATCTCGCCCAGAGCCAAACTCCCCGCCTCCCACAGTCGCTGAGGCCGCTTCCACAGTTGAAAAGGAACTGTGGTTTGGGTTCAGCCTTGTCACTGCAGACCTCCTTCGCTGGTGTGGTTCTTTTGAAGGCGGCCTGGGACGAGCCTTGTAGGGCTTCGCACGCAAACCTCCTCCAAGCCCATTGTGCCAGTTGTCCTAACAAGCTTGGCCGACGGATTATCCACGTCATTGTGACATCGTCCAGGCCCGTATCTGTCATGGCTTGGTCAACGTGTGTGGTAAAGGACACAACAAGAAGTCTCTCCCAGACCTTCGGAAAGTAGGCGATAAGGCAACCAGGGGAGAGAATGCCAAATCATGTTGCCGTTCTACTTATACGCACTATTACGTACAGTCACAGGAAAATATGAACAATCACTAGATTATTTGGTCGATTTGCAAAACATCTACACTCGCACAAAAGGTTATGCATTCTAACACCAGCAAATAGTTACAATACGCTACAATGCTTTCCTAAGCAAAGGTGTTGTTCATACACTTTTGCCACGACTATCTGTACGGATTTAAATGATAAAAAAAAAACAGCTTGAACATGGGAAACGTGGGAGGGGCCTTTCTGTTCACGTGTGGTTGTGACATTCTTATTGTTACTGTTTGATTACCATTAATATTTTCAGCGAATGAACCTGCTCCCATCCAGATAAGCGCGATACATTTCCTCGTCGCGTTTGCTCCTACCGAGGACACATTTCTTTTCCTGGTCAGTTCGAGAACATGTAAAAACATCTCAGCTGGCGTTGTTGAAGCCGATATTTCCACCTGACCAAAACCACCTGACCGCAATAGTTTTGCCAACTTCCCTTTCGTAACAGTGTTTTCATCCTTCAGACAGATCCAGGCCCGCAAATTGACCGAGGATTCCTGGACTTTGCTGAAATCGTTACTGATTGGCTGTCTGTTATGGAGGCGCATGCTTTTTCAGCTGTTTCTCCAAACCTGGCACACCCCCCCTGGCTGGCACGACTGCACATCAACCCCCCTCCTCGAGTCCTCGTGTTGCATGCACGAACCCATGACTCCACGACAAGATCATTAACGCCTCGGTATATTCCTGAAGTCCTGAGCTCGCACTTCTCACCACTTGGAATCCCTCTTCCTCGTTCAGCGCACTGCGCCTTGCTCCTCCTGCTCAACAAAATCATTCCATTCCAAGCAAACCAACTTTCTCTTCTGTCTGCTCGATCTTCCTTTCTTCGCTGTATCCTTGTTCAGTTTGCATCCAGCTTTTCAATCCTTGTACTCTCCAGCGTGGTTTGTAGTGTGCTTCGACCTAGAGCTGCTCGAAATAGGCTAGCAAAAGCGGTCCACGAAACCTACAACAGAGATTCCTCTCAAGTCGAAGTCACCTTTCAAAGGCGCCGCCACCATGTCGTTGCATCGTCTAGCGCTCTTTCTGTGCCTCTCCGCCCTCGGCCTCGCTTGTACGTGACGTTTATTTTCCCTTACTTTCTTTCCCGCGCGCTTCATTCTCGGTTTTTCATAGAAGCGGATTGCCGCCCAAGTGTGCTGGTAATTTGAGTCGTCTCAAAGCAAGTGTACTGTTATTCAAACGGAGTGACGATCTTTGTAAACATGATGTCAAACTTACCTTTCTCTTCTCCCTCGTCATGCTTGCTTTTCGCATGTGCTGCCTGACGTGTGCATGGTGCTACCTGACGTGTGCATGGTGCTACCTGACGTGTGCATGGTGCTGCCTGACGTGTGCATGGTGCTGCCTGACGTGTGCATGGTGCTGCCTGACGTGTGCACTCCCGCAGCTCTTCTAACAGCACAGGTAAGCCTTCCTCTGGCTAGTCTTCCTCCTTATACTCTGACCTTAATTCACCTTCTCTCCACGTCACTCCGCGCGCTTCCGAACTATCCGCTCTTCTCCCGTCCGCATCCGCTCTCCCCCATCCCCCCACACCCCCAATCCCCCACTCACTTCAACTCGTAGTTTCCTCCTTTTTCCGAGTGTACTGGTCCGACTCGCAGTTCCCGGGCCCCGCCTTTCCACCATTCCCAGCAACCCTCTCCACCATCCTTCTCGCCTCTTTACGTGCCTTACACTTGCCTCACGTCGCTAGAGTCTGGCGATTTTTTAGTCAACTCAAAACTCTCCACCATCCTTACCGTCTCTTTACGTGCCTTACACTTACCTCGCGTCGCTAGAGTCGGGTCGCATCCCTAACGTCCGTGTCGCGTACTACGCTCTTTATTCACCTGATAACAGTTCGCGCCGCTCCCATCACTGGAACTCGCCCATGCCCGCGCCTGCGTGGTTTTACGCGTGTTGTTTAATTTATTACTATGTCGAAAGTTCCTCTGGCGCTATCGCTAGAACCCGTTCAGGCTAAGACCTCGAACGCTTTTTAGGCGCCTCAAAAGACGTCTCTGATTCCCTTTCACCCCCCATCATCCTCCAATCATTCTCCCCTTCCATCTCTAATCTACTTGTTCCTCAAAAGACGTCTTTAATCTGCTGCGTGTTCCCTATCGCGCGAACCCGTTCAGGCCACGACGTACTATGTGGGGGGCGGGATGAAGCTAATGAAGCGGAACACTTGGTCGAAGAAGCAAATGAATCCGTGGAGCGTGGGCAATATGAAAAAGTGGAAAGCTCCGGCTGAAGTCAAAGTTGGGGACGAGTTCGGTACGTGAGCCGCCCAGAGTGGTCTGAAAATGTAATTTTGAGTCGCCTCAAAAGGTCATTCTTTGACTCGACTCGAACGACATCGCGTGGAGCGTGGGCAACGAGAAAAAGTGGAACGCTCCGGCTAAAGTCAAAGTTGGGGACGA